GTGATTGTTTGCTGGACAGCGCTGCTCGCAGATCAATAAGGAAGGATTTCCTTTAGTCCCAAACCACTGAAGCCGCTCTTCTTGTCTCATCGGAGCTTTCAGTGAGAATCCTGCAGATCAGCCGAAGCATCTGATGGTGTTACTCCTCACGCTGAGCATCGGATTGCTTTTTATCCTCCGTCACGTCTGATTTCCCACAGATCCAGGGTCAGACAGAAGCTCCAAGGAATAATAAAAACATCCGTTGTACATGTGGCTGTGTCCCATCGTCCGCCCTAATCACTATATAGTGGCTTTAGATGAGCGTCCGAACGTCTGGTGGATGAAAAAAAGTGGACTGAAATTTGCGTTGCACCTTGAAAGGTAGCGATCATCCATGGTCGCTAGTAGGACTGAAACAATTAATTGAATTCATCGCGATTAATCCTTTACTGAAATAATAAGAGACTCTAAGGCTACGTTCACCAAGCAGCCTGACGTGACACGAATCCGATTTTAATTTTATAGATTATAGAAATAGCTGGGAGTCGGCACCAGAGCGTGTGAACGGAGCGGAGCGCCGTGCAGTTCCCGCTCAAAGTTAACCCAGGGTCGCTCTGCTCTCACCTCGGCCCCCGAACAGCGCCATCTCCTGTTTGTTATACCTAATGAGTTGCATCAGGTGGATGCCTAGCTGTTCCTGTCAGGAACTGAAAGGCCATCCACGCCCTGACCTCTGACCCTATTGGCCTCTACGCCTCAGGATCACAGCTGGCTCTTCTTTATCAGTCTGGCTCCAGGATGTATCGTTATCCTGTGCTAAATGTTAAAAATAAAAAAGGTAAAAAGTTAATTGAAAAGTCAAAAAGTTAAATAGGTAAAAAGTAAATTAAATATTAAAATTCAAGAAAAAGGGAAAACCGCTAATTAAATGTAAAAAATTAAAAGAAAGGTAAAAAGTCAAAAAGTCAAGAAAAAAGGGTAAAAAGTTAATTAAATGCTAAAAATTAAAGAAAAAAAGGTAAAAAGTTAAAAAAGTAAAAATTTTATAGAAAAGTTAAAAAGGTAAAAAGTTAATGTTAAAAATGAAAGAAAAAGGTAAAAGGTTCCTTTAATGTTAAAAATTAAAGGAAAAAAAAAGTTCAAAACTTAATTGAAAAGGGAAAAATAAAAACAATTAAAAAGTAAAAAGCTAATCGAAAAGTTAATAAGTAAAGTAACAAAAAAATCATAAGCCTCGTTAACAGTTCTATTTAGGATTATAAACTAAAAAATGTCAGTTCCAGTTAAGGGTGTGCAAAATAATCGTCATGACGAT